AGATTCAGAGAGCAGATGTGCTTCCAGCTAATTCCTAGGGAATGCTGGACCGGGAGACACAGAAAGCAGCCACGCCTCCAGTTTATTCCTGGGGAATGCCATCTACTGGTGGAAAAGAAGGTGTTCTGCAAATTCATTCAAATGCCAGAAACAGTGTTTCCCTGGAACTGCAGCATCACTATGGCTAGAACTGCCACATTAGCAAGATTATATACCTGGACATTATCAGAGCAAATGAAAGAGGTGACAAGCCAAGAGGAAAAGAAACTTTTCCAAGGATTAAGGAAGAAGAAACTAAAAAAGTGAAATATGACACAGTCTGGTCACCTCTGATTTTTGCATTGCTGTCATCAGCGATACATTGTTTAAGAGATATTTTCGGAAGTCTTCCAGCTCTCACTGAATGTAGGCAAACAACGCTTGCATTACCTCTGTAATGTACTTGCACCCAAAAGACAAAATTGAGATGACGTCCTTTGATGCTGGCAACATAAATGAAATTGCCTAAGTGAACTACTGATGCATGAAGTATCCAGGATAGGAAGCACACCGATGCCAAGCATGCCAAACTGCTGGACTGGTAATACAGGGCATTAGTAATAACGGGTGAAACTGCTGAATGAATCCAGAAGAAGCAAAAGAAAATKAAATTACTTCTAGTGCTTATATATTGTTATGATACTTCTCAGTGCAAATAAAATTCTGGTGGAACTTTAAGACAATTGCCTCTAGGATAATTATTATTGCAGCCTAATTATCCAAGTCCATTGGTTAAATAACATTTCAAATCTCTCATCTGTATTCATCAAAATCACCAGTACTGCTTCCTGACAAATAGTTATTAGAACAATAAAGCCAGACTTCGAGGGGATCTCAGGCTTGTGATGTTTGGATGAATTCTCTTTGGATGAATTGGAGTGGGACATGGCAATCATGACCTCCCTGAAGTGCACAACACAGAGCAGACCCCAATCACCCCAGCCTGGCCCCTCTTACCTCCCTGATTCTGCCTTCTTTTGCACATGTGAGCACAACAGGGTTTCATACAGCTATAAATCACCCTTGAAGAGGATGGAAACCAGATCATTGATGCCTGAGCAGGTGATGACGCCTCTCATCAAGAAACGATGGTTTTGCAATCTGCTTTCTTTGTGCCACTGAGGAAGCAGGACATCAYGAGGCTCTATCCATTCCCTTCCAAGTGCCTTAGAAACAGGTTGGGATMACTACAACCAGCTGCTGCTACTGACAACTGCAAGCAAGATCACTGTCCCACAGCCACATCATTCCCAGGACCAATTTCTAGTGCATGTTTCTTTACTGAAGAAAAGAAAATGCCTCCTGGGTAACACTGTGTACTGTGAAGCAGGCCCCTTTCYATTGGCACAGATTAAACAGTTGACTTTTTTCTGCCATGTGTGGGAACAAGAAGAAAATGTGAATTGCATTATATACAGAAAGACTTTTACAAAACATTTTTTTTAAAAAAAAATGAAGGGAATCAGTATGCAAGCAAAACCCTGGCTGCTAAAGGGTATAAGGCTAATAGGAAATACTCACAGCAGAATTTTGTTTTCCCCATCCATTTCACTAGGATCAGCTCCAACAGCAGGATTTGATTTCCCAGGTGATAAAGTCTTAYATGCATTTTCTCAGAGAGTCTAAAAATCATTCCTCTTTTCCTGGCCAAAATACCAATCACTCACAGCAAAAGGACAGCTGACAACAACATCTAAATATTTAATGGGGGTATTAACAAGAAAATATTTTGTCAAGATTTTTAAAACTACTAATGCATAGTTTCTTTTAAATAAGTGAAGGCTCCAGCTATGGCATCCCACTCTTCACTGAAATGTGCAACAATTGTTCTTCAGTTCACTACAGAGTAAAGCTTTGGTATCAGAGAGCTTGTGGCATTCTGAGAAAACTGCCCTCTATGTGAAATCTTAGGACTACAACTACGTACCTCTGTAAAGAACAACAAGAACATTATATACACTGTGCTGTGTGGCAAAAGCACAACGATTTAGCTCTGGGTTCAGATTCAGGTGAAGACTCAACGTAAATGTATTTATTACCTTATCTGTCTTGCAAAGAAGCTACCAGCTGAGGTCTTCTGCATCCCCTGGCACAACAGGTTCTACAGCCAGCTGGAGTGTACCCCCTCTCCATGTGGTTTCCCAAGCCTTTTTGCAAGCTGAATTTGGCCTGTTGTGGCAAAAGTRTTATCTGTCTGCAGTGTGGGAACATCATTCTGTTTTTCTGTCATTGCTCTGGATCTACTCACCCACATATGCTCGAGTCATGGGAAATGGCATGATTCAGACTGCTCTCAGAAATCACTCAGGGATGTCTTATGGAAATTGAAACAATTACCAGGAAATCACAGGAAATGAAAGTTAAAATTTCAGAATACATTACTATTGATATGCCTTGGAAAACAACACTGCATATTTCATCATTTTCTTAGGCTGTTGTCATCCCTCTTTACTAACTCTAATAATTTATGTTCCTTAGAGAAAGATTAAGAACAAAATACATTTTTCAGAAAAAGACAGTAACTCACAGGATATAAAAAAATCCTTTTTCAGGGTAAAAGAAAATGCTTGAAGTCTGGATTTTAGAACCTGCTSTTCTGAGAGTGCTGCCTACCTAATGCACACTTGGATCTGCTATCTGCAAGGTCTCTGGACARCACTAGCACAGTCTTCAACTGTAAGTCCCCAAAATGCAGAGTTATAGACTGCAGGTTCATGTTTTTAGGAACGGAGTTTTGGTAAGACATCACCCCTTGCCAAAGCAGCAATAACAAAGGAGCATTAAAAGGCAGTAAAGGTAATTATGGGACTTACTGAGAATCTCAAAATCTGCCAGGAGGTAAAACACTACAAAAGCTACTTCACATAAAGAACACAAACATGCTGTAAAATTACTTTGCATTAGGGGAGTTAAAGAATATAGCAATTATTCATGAAAAAAAAGTTTTCCCATGTTATCCTGGTGCTTGAGATTTTTTTTTTCTTCTTTGAGTCTCTTGGCTGACTCTTTTATCTTTCATGTTCTRCAGCACAATCAAAAAGCAGTAAATATCAACAAGTTTGATCTTGTCCAAACTGAAGTGAAAGGAAAACTGCCAGCTGGGCCCAAAGGGTAGAGAAAATGAGTCCCAAACTAGGGGTTTATAATAATCACTGTGGTAACAGGCTGTGGCTTCAATGTTCCTTTCCCTTTTGTTCTGCATGGCTTTACTTATTTGCTTTAGGGAGGTAATGCTATGGGAGCATGTAAAAGGAGTATTTTGCTCACACACATTAGATATGCAGATGCCATTTATGTCTCTGGACTGACCGTATCATAAGCAGTGTAAATTGCAAACTATCCTCAGTGGAGCTCCTGATTTACAGGGATTAACTGGCCTGGAATTTGTACTTCCAGCACTGACAAAGGCTTGATCGTTCCTCCTGAGGAAAAGGCCAGTCCACTGCTACCCTGAGAACACCTGCTCCACAAATAATAAGAGAAGTTATTCAGCTGCTCTTGTTGTCTTACCTGATGTCCCTTGGAATAGTTCCCTGTAGAAAGCTGCTGTAATTGCTTCTAAACTTGTTATTTCAAACTGATTTATGCAAATCTTTTATAAAAGAGGGGATTACCACATGTGAAACATTGGCTGAACTAAGGGAAGATTATACATTGGTTTTGAGTAAGTTCTGTTGTCTTTTAGAAATGAAGGGGCCTTGTCAAAGGCTGCAAATCCTGAAGGCGTACGGCCTCCACGAACTCTGATGGAAACTGAGGCAAAGCCCAGCCAGCACTGGCCATGTCCTTTAAGGCAGATGAATATCCAGTAGCCCAAATCAGAAGAGCAGAGGTAAAGTTGTATTTCCTCTTCTGAATTACTTCAACAAACTTCAGGAGCCTGAGCAGCTCTTTCAGGGTCACTGATGGTGTCACTGTGTCCCCCCGCCGCCTCAGACATCTTGCCAGAGGCTGAGGGAGCTCCTGGCCCTTTCCCGGCTGCTCCYGGGTTTGGTTTTTGGAACAGATCTGCCTTCTGTGGTGAAACTGGCTCCCGATATCACTGCTACAATGCTCTTTAAACGCTGTCCAAGTCCACTGCCAGTTTTGAAAAGAAATATATCTCACTCAGATACCTCATCTCAGATGTACCTCATTCCTGCAAATGTTGTGAAAATGAGTAGCCAGGTAGAGCAGTGAGCCCTTGTGAGCGCTGCCAAGGACAGAAAGGCTGAGGCRGCCGCAGGCAGAGCTCAGCCCAGGCAAGCAGGGATCCCCTGAGGGCGAGAGGGCAGAGCCCGCCCGGCACGGCAGAGAACAGAGACCGCCGGAGAGCCCCGAGGGCCGTGGGGGCCATGGGGACGGCGTGGCAATGAGCCACAGGGACAGGGCAGGCAAGCCAGGCTGCCCCGCCAGCGGCTGCGAATGAGGAGGAGACTGGGAGAGACTGGGAGAAGCGCCAGGAGCGGCACCGCCACACTGGTGAGGGCTGGCGGAGGGCACGGGGCATTCCCGCCCAGCCCCAGAGCAGCGGGCCCGGGCCGCGGGCTGGATCGTGTGGGCAGTCCTCTCTCCTCAGCGC